TGTGTGTGTGTGTGTGTGTGTGTGTGTGTGTGTGTGTGTGTGTGTGTGTGTGTGTGTGTGTGCACTGCGTGCGTGCGTCCGTGCGTGCAATATGTGTATAAAACCACCGCTCTCTCTGTGCATGCTGTAGGTGATGGAGGAGCTGGAGAATGAACGTTGGGCCAGCTACACTTCCCACGACCCCTCACTGTCGGTGAGACACTTCCCCTCACCGTGTGTGTGTTGCTGCTTTCTCGCCAAGCCAGAAGAACTTGTTTTCACAAAAAAAACTAAAGTTTATTAATGAGATTTTGAAAACACTGTAGAAATTAACAGCAAAACTGTGAACATAAACCCTAATGCCACTACCAGTAGGGCTGTAAATACATGTACAGTACATACATGTTTTTCATTATCAATTTTCGAAGTTGCAGTGTTTTTTGGCTTGGCTGGAAAGAGCAAATCTCACATGTATAAAGCAGAGGTAGAAGAGAACCGTTTCACCACACAACACAAGTCGTAGCTGATTTGTGTCGCATCATGCATGGTGGCCCCTTCTACCCACATCAAATGGACGACACCAGACCACTGAATTGTGTCACTGTGTGTCGGTCATATAATCTACTAATTGCTCATATTTTATTCCCATAGTTCCCAACAGATTTTCTTCTTGCGCTTAATAAGCGCTGCACTCAATTCAGCACATTAAAAAATTGAATTGTAAACCCCCCAAGGCACTTATTAATAATCATAGACTTTTCATTAGTTTTTATGATTTCATTAAAAGTGAAAACCATCCAGCTAGAATAGTTCTTCCGACAAATCACTTCCTGAATGATGTAAATTGCAAGATAATTGACCTCAGCCTTGCTGCCTAATCATCTGTCACGCCAGTTACAGCCTCTTAAAACACCCCACTTCCCCATCGGAATACTGATGTCCTCACGCAACTGGCAGTTTTTATTTCATGACCCCTAGATGTATCTGGAGCCTACAGGGACCTTTTCTTCATCTCCTCATCGTGTTTATGAGCGTGTGTAGATACTCTATGCATGTCAGAGGGCAGGAGGTGGACTCCTACCTTATACAGCATTCCACTATCAAAATATAGTTTTGACATTTTGCTTTCTTGGTGAGAGTATAAAAGATTAATACCACTGTCATGTCATGCCAGTAGCTTAGCTTAGCACAAAGACTGGAGGTGGAGAAACAGCTAGCTGCTAGCCTAGCTCTGTACAAAGGTAAAAGAACATCAGCTTCCAGCACCTCTTATGCTCACTAATGTTTTGTATGCATTCACCAAACAATATCTAACATATTATTAGGTGAGCTGTAGAGGAGCTGGTAGGAGGATTTTGTTACCTTTGGACAGAGCCAGCCTAGCTGTTTCCAGTCTTTATGCTATGCTAAGCTAACCAGTTGCTGGCGGTAGCTTCATTGTCAGGTTACAGACATGAGAATGGTGTCAATCTTTTTATTTAACTCGCCGCAAGAAAGCACATTTTTTGTATGTCTTTGTTTCTAAAAAAAAAAAAAAAAACATAATTTGCGTAGCCCATTGCACAATCAATAATATAGTCATATGCTATGCCCGTGTGTGTGTGTGCGTGTGTGTGAGACTGGGTTTGTGAGGTTTGGATATTTATGTGCATTTCTGTTTGTCCATATGTGTGTGCATTTCCGTCCCTCCATTGAGTATACATGAGGGGAGGAGAGTACTTCCATGACTAGGAGTGTAATCCCTCATGTGACTGTGTGTGTGTGTCAACAGGCCTAAACTTAGTCTGTCTGCATCATTGGAAGCATTTGACATTCTGCTCACATGATATTGCAGCTCACAGCTAAAACCAGAGAGAAAGAGATACCGAGTGTGAGAAAGTCTGGGGAAGGAGGGCAATCTAGAAACGGAGAGAAGGGATGTCAGAATGAGTTGTTCAGTGAAAGAGGGAGTGTTGGAGAGACAATTAGTGAAGGAGGGAGAGTCGGGTGAGAAATAGAAGTGGTGGTGTTATGAGGAGGTGAGGGGGAGAGGTGAGGAGGGAGTGATAATGTTGAAGTAAAATTGGATGCAGAGGTGAGAGAGATGGGGGGATTGTGAAAAACTGCAGAGAATATAGAAGAGCCTACTGTGAGGCCACAGAATACTGTAGAAAATATTAGCATCGGCGTGTTTGCACGGACAAAATGGGGACCAAATCAAAGAACTGTGTTTCGACATTTCCAAATACTTTATTACGGTATCTGTAAGTAGATATGTTGTGTTATGTGAATTTGGGGGATTTTATACATGTGTCCTTGTTTTTTTTTAAAGTTTTCTTTCAACTTTTCCTTGCCCTATTTATAAGACGAATCAGTTGGAGGCGAGACTTGCGGAGAACTCCTCCATCTGGCGTAGGTGTCATTAAAAGAACAGTCCAGGAGGCACAATCGTATTCGGGCGTTTGACAGCAGTTTAACGGTCTATGATTTTTATTTGGAGAGTACTGGAGCCTGTAGAGACTCGACAGTGGCTTAGAAAGAGGGATTATAATAACAAGGTGCAACAAGGGAAACGAAGAGAGCGAGAGATGGAGGAGAGGAAACAGGAGGAGGGATTGTTTAACAGCAGCTTGTTCATTAGGGAGAGGTCGAGAAAGGGACTGATGGTCGGAGAGAGAAGAGGAAAGATGGAGAGATTGTGAATAATAATCTGCAGAGGAGAGCAAAGAAAAACAAAGAGCGGGGAGGAGGCACTTCCTCGACCCTTTCTTCATTCCACTCAACTTTATTAATATGACTATGAAATACTGAAAGCCATGAACCCTCGAGTCTCTCAGGCGGACAATGCCTTCATTACTATTTCACTCTCGCAGTTATTTCCTCCAGGAACCATAAAATCGTCCGTTGGTCTGCATCTCAGCTGTACTGAGATGTGTTTTTGGTGATGTTTTATTGGGTTATTACTGAAACACATGCTGGTCAATTTACTTCAGGGATGAAATGCAATTGGCCCACCGGCTGTGCAGTGTACTTTTAAATCGATGCATTAAAGTAGATACGAGTGATGTCGTGTAGCAGTTTGATATGGGTGTGTTCATGTTTATAAGGGAACACCGTATGGGCCGCACCTGTAGGTGATTGTTTCCCTAGGGAATAGATTATATCCAGGAGGCGCTTCTGTTTTGTTTTCCGCATCGGTGTGGAGTTTACTGTGTCAACAGAAATCTGATGACTAAACACTGTGACTTTGGAATGGATAAACACACACACATACACACACATTACTGTTATGGCCAGGTCAGCTTGCTATGTGTGATGGATCCTTCTACCAGCCAGATCACATGACCCTAATATAAGCCAGTGAAATTCTCGTGGAACAAAAGAGGGAGGGGTCATGTGAAACATTAGTCCCTCCACACCTGTCTCTGGAAGCTGTAGCACCCGCACTGAGCGGGACAGAGAAACCCAGGCAGGAAGCACAGGTAAGCATCGTACTATTCCTGCGCTAGTGTCACGGTTTAATCTGTAGCAAACACACAGGAAGAGAGGGGGGGGGGAGGTAACAAGTGTTGAATGGACAAACATTGCTACTGCTGAACTGTAGTGGTGGAGCTGTACACACCAGCCAACACAGACAGAGATAGATGGACAGGCAACATAACAAGTCACCTAGCCGGGCGTGACATCGAGACATGAGGAGTTGGAGCAAGAAGGTTGTGTGAAAATAGTTTTTTGTTTTTTATAATGCTTTGTGTGTACTTGATCTGGAGTACAAGGGTCTTTTCTTTCTTTCTCTGGAGCTTTGAAGGTGAATGGTGCTTTTCTTTCGTCATTGTAGTTATCAGAGGTCTTTGACTTTATCTGGCTGTGTTTGTGTGTTTTAGGGCACAGTGGATTTGGAGCGTGAGGAGGGAGAGGAGTGTGAAGAAAACATGGAGGTTTTTGACGACAGCAGCTCCAGTCCCTCAGGAACCCTCCGAAACTACCCGCTAACCTGCAAAGTCCTGTACTCGTACAAGGTATTCACCGACACACTCACACACACACGCACACACACACACGCACACACACACAGCTACCCTCTGCGGTTACATGGGCATCCACTTACACATATCACATGTCTGCAGCTACCTGCTCAACCACAACAGTATCGTACACAATCCCCTGCAGTCATGTACGCACTGAGACAAGCAAAGGTGAATGTCAGTGTGGCGTTTACAGGACTTTTTTTTGTATTTTAACACTAAATATTTATGGTCTCGGTCTAGTATGGAGTGTTTTTACTGTACCGTAAATGTCTTGTCTTTCTGTCTTTTAACACTGTTGGCATGTCTCTCCCGCAGGCCTCTCAGCCGGATGAGTTAACTATTGATGAACAGGAGATGCTGGAGGTCATTGAAGATGGAGACATGGAGGACTGGGTCAAGGTGCACAAAACACACACACAGATGTGGCGGTCACACAGATGTGCATTATGTTTACAGTGACAATGCCAGAAGCATTACCTCGTGAGATCTGTGTGTTGCGTCCTGTGCGTGTGCTCTGTTTTCTTTATTAGCCTTGTGTGGTATTTTAGATGCATGCATGTTTTCATGTTGCCTTTCGGTCACTGTGTCATTTGTTTGTGTGTGTGTGTTCCAGGCTCGTAATAAGTCGGGTCATGTGGGTTATGTCCCAGAGAAATACCTGCAGTTCCCGACCTCCAACAGTCTGCTGAGCATGCTCCAGTCTCTGGCTACACTGGATGCTCGATCTCACACCTCGTCCAATTCCACCGAGCCGGAGCTGCACTCCGGCTGCATCAATGGAGACATAAACAGTAAGTTCGCTGTGGACCCAGTGATGGTAAATTATTCTTTGAAATAAACGCACTGCATGCCAGGAGTTTCAGTAAACAAGCTAGTTCCAGTTGTACATGTGTAAATTAGTTTCCTTCTTCCTGTAATGAGGTTATTATGCACCACTGATTAAGGTATTTATTTTCTTTACTGCTTCACTGGAGTTGCTCAGAATCCATCAGTAAACAACACTCATTTTGCAAAGCAGAGTGTTATTAGAGTAAGCAAGTGTGGGTTGTCTCTCTTGCAGGGTAGAATAAGGTGAAAATATGTCGGTGGTTGCAGTAATCAACAGAAGGCAAAAGCCACAGTTGTATATAGAGACAGTGATAATTAAAAAACGGTACTACTTCCTGTTCCACAAGCTTTGTCACTCCTGATTTCCTTTTCATCCATTTTTTTGGCCATTGCTTTTCCACATGTACCAGCACATAAGGACATTGTTGTTGCCTCCAATCACTGGAACAGAGACGAGAGCGAGGCAGCTGTAGAACAAAACACGAGTGGTTGAAATTGCAGAGCAGTTTGATAAAATGGGCAAGAGCTGAGCTTCATCACAAACATGTAAGACCATTGGTTGCATCCACACTTCGGCTTTTGACAGTCAGCATACAGATAGTTGATCTGTTATAAATGTGAAAGCCTTCCATCCTAACCTTCCTTCTCTGCAGCCGTCTTCTACTCTCTCTCTCTCTCTCTCTCTCTCTCTCTCTCTCTCTCTCTCTCTCTCTCTCCCTCTCCAACCTTCTTTCTATTGCTGTGTGCCTGCTGCACATGGGGAAACTCTGTCACCTAATTATTATTTCTTTCTGTCTTCTCCGTATCGCCCTCTCTCCAGCAGGGTGTCCCATTCTCTTTATGATAATGAAGGCAAGGCAGACATGGAACTACATTTACCCAAGAATAATTATTCCTTCCGTGTATCTTATTGCTCTCTCTCTCTCTTTCTCTCTTTGTCTTCCTTCCTCTTCGCAGTGATATTTGTCCGTGCACTTTATGATTACGAGGGCCAGGCAGACGAGGAACTCTCCTTTTCCGAGGGAGCGGTGATCCGCCTGTTGAGCCGCGACACTCAGACAGACGACGGCTTCTGGGAGGGCGAGCTCAACGGACGGGTTGGCGTCTTCCCCTCCGTGCTGGTAGAAGATCTCACTGAGAACGGGGAGACCAGTGGAGGAGGGCCTGGTGACATACAGGTATATTGATGTTTGCGGACAGAGACATACTCCCACTGAAGTGCGTCACTCTTGAGGAGCTGGAAAATTTTGTGTTATCAGTGTTTCCTCAGGGCAGAAATACCAAGATTAAAGTGTAGTGTGGTGGGACACTTTTCTCCCCCTCTCTCCTCGCTTCCTGGCTGTTGTCCAGTAAATCTATCAGCAGGGCAGAGTTGACAAACACTGGATCAGAACCGCTGTGTTTCTGCGGTCCTCTGATTAAAAAGCCTGCTCTACAATCACAGAAAAAGCTCTTATCTGTGGCACAGAGTGCTGCCTTTTAGAGGGTCAGCAACAGGAAGGATGCAGCCTCTCCCTTCCTAAAAGCCTGTAGACATAACAAACACCGCAACAACTTTTAACAGCTTTTAAGTGGTTTGTTGGGAAGATTGGTAAAAAAACTAATTGTTTATTTCTGTAAGGTATTCCCCAGAGTTCCATCAAAGCCGTCCTAATCATTACTTTTGTATTAACTATGTATGACTATAATGTGAAAGGTGTTGCTTCTAGTAATAGACCCACAGATTATTATCACCCGACTGCAGTTCCTCTCAGCTCTGTTGAGCGTTAAAATTTGTTGTTTTGGTTTAACAGCTGTTTTGGTTCACTCTCACCACTTTTGGAGTGTTATTTTCAAGTGCAGCCAGTAGCTGTTTTTAATGAAAAAGCTCTAAACATCCATAGTACACAACCCGCTCGACGCCAAACAGCAGACTAGCGACTAGCTAACTGTACATAGCGGAGCATTTAGCAGCTAAAGAACCCGATATCTCCCTGAGGAGTTGGTGGAGACCAAGAACAGAGCAAACGAGAATGAATATTGGTTTCGCATTCCTCAGGTTATAGAAACACGATAGAAACACATGCATGCTAATGTAGCTTTGTGTCTGCTGGATGTGTAAATAGGGAACTGTTTACGAACACGTTATTATAAGATGATTATGGCACCACCATCAGGCCAAGGTCCAACGGACATTTTGGCCTGTAACTAAGTTACTTTTCTTTTTTTATACAACCAGCTTCTTCCTCTTGTGTCTAATTACAATCTAATCAGTTTCAGCCAATTAATTTGCCATTAGAATTTATTCACACACAAGAAAGAAGGTGTTGTTTTGGATGTATTTATTGCCGCTGTATTCTAAACTGGTGAGCTGTAACTTAATAAAGTTGACTTCAGTTATCACAAAGGATATGAAAACGATAGTACTGACTGGACCATTAACTGTGAGATAGAGCATGGGACTTAATTGTTGGGTCACAGGTGAGCAGCACATTTTCTCCATTTCTGGCCTCTTCTCTAGATTTCTCCGTCTCTGAAGTTGCCGTGTTCTCTGCCACATCTCCCGCTGTATGAACAACCTCCCATCAGCCCTTTCACCAGCCCCGAGACCTCCACCCCGCCTCCTCTCCCACGCTCGCCCTCCGCCGCACTTAACGGGGAGCACAAGCCCCCACCATCCGCCTCGTCACACAAGGGACCGCTACCCACCCACAGTAAGACACGCACGCACGCACACACACACACACAGAAAAAGGTTGTGTGTAGTTGAATTAATTAAGAAGAGGTCGTTCTAGCTTATTACTGTGAGGATTTCTGTATAGATAGAAACCCTCTCTTTCTCTCTGTAGATCAAAGCTCTGGCAAGAGTCCAGTGTCTCCAGGATTTCCTCAGCCACTGCGATTCACCCCTGAAGGAGGCCCGGGCAAACTACGACCTGTAAGTATAAAACTTATTCAAGAAGTGTGTCTCATGTGATAGTAAACTGAATATCTTTGGACGGACAAAGCAATTTGAAGATGCCACCTTGGGCCTTTGTAATTGGTATTTGTCTCCATTTTCTTACATTTTAAAGACCAAACAGGTTAGTTGCAGCACTATATGACACAGTGTTGATTAAACTTCCTGTGAATCTTTATGATTTCCATTCAGACTGCGTTTATTTTTTAAGAAGGCTCTAAAAGTAGAAAACGGATATTTCTTACTTTTTGTATCCCACAGCAGGAAATGAACAGTGGGCTGTTTATCAAATTAAGAAAAGTAGGCCATCTCCAATCACGCACTTTGCCTTTTTTCTTAAACCTTTGTTATTATGTTTTCTTTCTCTGCTGCAGGTGCGAGCTGCTCCTCCTCCACCCAAACAGCACCCCCGCCGATCGCAGGAGAAGAGCGAGAAAACAGAGGAGGTGGAGATCACACTGGTGTGACAGACAGACAAGCTGGCAGGCAGTTGTAGAGACAAAAAAAACAAAACAGATGACAGACTGACGCATCCTACAGACTGGAAAACTGAACTGCTCTGAACTTAAGTCAGCTTTAAACAAAGTGATGTGAAGAGAACTGAACCATGGCCTCGCCACATCTTCTCTCCTCCTCAAGTTGAGGAGGAGAGCAAAGAGAGGGGTTGAAGGCAGTGTATCCAATTGAATAATCTCCGTATTAGCTTCCTAATGAAGTGCAGCAGTAGCCGCCCCCCGCGTCCCTCTCTGCCCTCAACCCGTCCTTCCATTCTTGCCTTAAAACTTTACCTCATCGGGCAGCAAACCAGAGCACACTGAAGAGGAGGAAGAATGTTAAGAGAGGGAGGAGCATGAGGGAAAGTTAATGATGGGTTTGGCAAGTTTTCTTTTATCTTGTTAACGCCTACTTCGAGTTATAGTAAAGCAGTTTATCCCTCTGTACAGGAAGACCATTTTGCTACATATGAGAAATTCCACTGTTAACCAATGATAAGGAAATGTGTGAAAAGTTATGGAGCCCTGAAACTGACAACATGTAGTAAAGAGCTACACTACATGTACAGAGGACAAGTCAACAATTTAATACATAATAAAATTGTTAGCTAAAAATGTAAATGGATTGTAGAAAGAAAAACAACGTTTTACGCTAATATTTAATTATTTATTTAATTTTCTCCCTGCAACATTTGTTTTTCCTCAAATTGTCCTTTTGAAAATTGCTTATATTTTGATCAAAGAAGAGGGCTGTGTAGCTAGCTTGCTTAACTGACAAACACTGGGAACTAAACACACCGCGCACTAGCCTTTTCAGCTAGCTACCTTAAACTGTCTACCTTAAACTGTTATAAACTGCATTTTAGCCTGCAAACTCACAAAGCTAGCTAGCTAGCTTGGAGAGCTTGGAACTTTTTAAATTTAGTTCATTTGACATTTTGAGAAAAGCATAGAACTCCCACACATGTTGAGGATGACACAATAACGACCAAGATTTATTTCCACGGTGGTCGTCAGTAAAGACGAGAGAAATACACTCACAGGTGAAAATGCTGTGAAGATGGAGAGAGTGTCTCTATAGTCTGAACTTCCAAGTAGCGTAGCAAGTAGCTTGCTGGCTAAAATGCTATAGCTACAGTTACAAGACTTTATATGTTAATGGTACAGCAGTAGCCTTTGCGGTACAGTATATTGCTGATCAACATTTGGAGCAGTAGCTGGTGTAGTTTTTATGCCAAAAGCCAGCTTCAGCTTGGTAGCTAGCAAAAAAGGTTTTTGCTAAATTTAACCACCAATTTCTAGGTAAGCTTGCTAAAGCAACGTTAGCCACATAGTGCTATGTAAGATGAAAATTAGGGAATAGATAAAAAAAAAAAAAAAAAGTAAGTGTGCCGATACCACAAAAGTTTTTTTAAGTATGTTTTGGACTTAAATGACATCTTTTACTACAGTCTGAGTGTTGGGGCTCCATATAAAGTAAGCTTGATGACAGTCAATAAGTATAAAACTTGCCAAACGTGTCATGTTTTTTGATTGAAGTTGAGGGTGAAGTAAATGGACAGAGAAACTGGGTGGTGTGTGGACGCAGTGTCCCCCCCCCCCCCCCTCGCCAGCCCTTCCCTCGCCATATATAAACTCCTTATCGTCAAACGTATTCAATGTGTATTAGTACAGTACATTACTGTTGTCATAGGAATGTTACGCACAGAGTTTCATGTAGACTAACTCAGCTGATTGGAATACCATGTCTGATATGTAGTGGATGTTTATCCTCATCTTATACTGAAAGGGCATTGTAAATACAGTGTGATGGAGAGATGAAAGAAGAGAAGGGAAGGAGGGGATGGAAGAACAAGAGAGAAAATAGAGGCTGGATCCTCCTTTCTGCTCTTTTCTCCACCTCTCCTCCCTCTGTTCCTTTCATACTCTCCCTCTTTTCTCTCATGTCTGTTTTTGTCCACTGGCAGTCAGTGTGAATCGATGGCTATCATATACACACACATCCACTTACATTATATTACGCACACGTTACTATATCTTTTCTCATTCTGTGACCCGCTGTGTGCTTGTCTCACTGATGAGGAGGCAGACGGTGCTTTCGAAGGCACTGACATTGTTGGTATTCGCTTTGTGGTGACGACACAGATTTTATTTGAGACGATATAGACACTCATCATATTTGGGGTTAGGAGTTTTTATTAGTCACAGAATGAACTGTATAGCTTTTATCCCTACAGACCATATCTCCTCTCACGTTCATTTTTGTTCATTTTGATCAGTTCACCGTTGATTTATATTGTTTAGTTGACACGCATTACATTCACAGGTATTATTTGTTCTCTGTTTGGCCAAGCAACTCCATCGCATCACTGAGTGGGTGTTTTTTTGGGTTTGTTTTTTAATACAGAAGAGAAAACAATCTTAAAAAAAGAAATGTTAATGTTTCCAGTTTGATACTATCCTTATGTTTACCTTTTGATTAATGGTGGCAGGAACAGAAAACACGAGATGTATAAAACAAATGCATCATGCTAAATGGATAGAACTAGCAAATGACATTCAAATGGAGCCAAGTACAATTCTATTGTTTTTTTTACTCAAAGTAAACACCCCCCCCCCCACCCATACCCTTTAAGCCTTTAAAACTCCTTGTCTGAAGGGCAGCGTAGCACTTTTATTTATTTGTACCTTCCCTGAAAAGTAGCAGTACTTTAACAAAGCATCAGAATGGATAGAAGAGACTGAATCACTGCAGTTTAATACAGAAATCAGAGTTATTCTTTTCATTCTGAATCTGTTGTGAATCCTCTTTATTTCAGTGTGACTGACCATTTTAGTTTTTTTTTTTTTATTCTCCACTCTTCCAAAGAGATGGAGAAATACTTTTTGGACAGTGAAATGTGTAAAAGGTGTGTTCCTGAATGGACGTGATCATAGTAAGGGATGTTTTGAATGAAGACTTGGAGAGGATGTGGTTTTATGGTCTTGAGCAGTTTGCGTGTGTGACTGTTTAAAGCCGAGAGGATCAGATCTGTGTTTGACTCTGAAGATGTGTCTCAGTTGCTTCCTTCTTATTTATTTTAACCAGGGTTTCATTTGAATGAAAACATTTCAAAATACAGTCAACATGTCAATAATATGGATTTTAGATTAGCTCGATGGTAGCTTTTTTTAAATTGTGGCATTGATGGACGATGTTGGTCCAAAATGCAACACATAAGAAAAGACGGAACTCCTCACAGCTGGAAACAATTCAATCTAATTGCACCCTGTTGGGAGGCAGCAACAGAACTTTTAAAGGGAAACAAAAGTATTCAATCTGTGTTTCTTTATCTTTAAGAACATTATAAATCCTCCTCCACAGCTGCAGTATCATAGCATATTCACTGTTGGTAACTGTACTATATCTTCATTTCTTCTCAATCAGTATGAGGTATGAAGGCTGGTATAGAGTACATGCTGTTTAGTGTTAATATGTAGTCTGGAGTTGGGGCACAGCTTGTAAGAAGAGAAACAATCTGATGGTTTTCCTCTTTGCTAGGTGAATTCTGTCTGATGGAGAAAAGTGATGCAAGAAATGAAGACGATCCTAATTAGTTTTTTTCACGAGTCAACATTTTGCGTAGCATTCACACCTAACAAAGTGAAGCATACTGGAATTAGTTAGTGTTCCAACAAACTTGTTCTGAAGTTTATAGCGTCCCATAGCGCTTCCCACCATCGATGCTCAATCAGTTTTTCTATCAAATATAAACATGTATTACTTTCTGTTGCCAGTTGCCACTTTGAACATGATTATTTCCCCTATTTAGCACTCCCTCTGGTCGCTACAGTGTTGAAATATTATTATGAGCCTGTTTTGGGGTTTTATGTATTATAATAATTCTTTTATTTTTCATCCTTCGATTTGAAGCAGTAACACAGCTGCTGCTGTTACCGATGTGGTGGAACAACTGGCCTTCTCTCTTCAGACTGTTGCAATGGTGACAATAATGAGAACAGGTGCAAAAGTCGTTCTGCATATTATTATTATTATTGGCTGTACAAAAAAAACAAAGTTTGTATTTATTGTGTACAAATGTTAATTAATAAAAAAATATTGAAAAGTTGTTGTTTTTTGTTATTCTTGAGGCTTTTTTGTGCTCTTTTTGTGCGTGTTTATGCACCTCTCCTACATATTTGATTATGTACACACCTGAGAGTTTGTCTAAATGGTGTTTGTGTGTGGTGTGTGTGTGTGTGTGTGTGTGTGTGAGAGAGAGATAGTTGTTCCAGTCACTAGAGGTGGGTGTGATCATGATACCACACTCTATAAACACCCAAGGCCAGAGTTTCCTGAGTGGAGCGGGAGGCGAACGGGAAACGTCAGCATAGAGCAGCAACTGTGGACTTTTTATTTGGGCCATTGAAAAAAGTTTTTCTCCCATATTTTACCTTAACTCAGCAATTTGTCATGCGCTCCAGAGGAAAACAAATGGACCGCTCTCCTTCAAATTACACCTGTGTGAAACTCTATCTGTGCTCCAACCCAGAGGGTATGTAAAAAAAGATGTATGGAAGTTTGTGTTATTTGGACATGTTTTCTTTTTTAGATGTTTTGTGAATAGATGTTTGTGTTTATGCTCCGTTTAGATAGCATGGTGGAGCGCAGAGCTCTGAGAGAGAATGTGTTCCCCCAACTTGGAGAGCACTGTAGAAAAACACTGGGACTGGATGTCAGGGTGAGTACACACTTATCTGTCCTAAATCTGCATAGGAAACACATCAGTGATGATTGTATGTGTTGTGTATTGCAGATGGGAAGTTATTACTTTTTTTTGAGGTTCTACTTAAAGTTTCCTTTCCTTCCTTTTATTACCACTTAACACTAACGTGATGCAATTACCCCTTTTGGTGGTGTTGGCTTTTAGAGCCAGGAGGAACATTCAGCTGGTCGACTGGAGGGAACAATACTTACTTGATTTGACATCCGTGATAAAAGTTACATACATGAAGCGGTTTATGTTTACAGTGACGTATCCCTGGTGCATTCTTCTAACCCGATGAACTACTGAATTGTTAATCTGCAAAGTTCAGATGCACATATCTCAACTTTTCATTAACAGCTAATTTCTGAATATTGTTTAGTAGTTTTGTTCATAAAACTTTGAATATAATATAAACTGCTGATGCTATCAGAGGTGAAAGTCCTCACTTGAAGTTAAAGTTTGGTCTGACCAACAGTCAAAAAGCACAACATATATTCACAATATGGAATAAAACTATATCCAAAAGCTGCTGCCAGAAAATGTATTTTGTGTCAGTTGACTGGAGGAATAATTGACTGTTTCAGCACTATTACAGAAAGCATCGCCCAAAATCCCCTGTGTAACGTTGCTCACTGCCAACAGTGGAATACAAAAGCAATATTATTTGGTGGCTTGCAGTTGTGTGTGCGCGTCCTTTATTCTTTGACATTATCCCCTGAGGCCATTTCTTTAAAAGTGCAGTCAATCCGACTCAACTTTGCCGAATTAAATTTGACAAAAATAGAGGATGAGCATCTTTTAATGCCACTCTGTGCGTATCGGGTGTGTATGTGAAATCCCCTCGGGGCAGTTCAACCAGCACATTGTGCCATCTCTTTTCAGCAGCATGTGTAATTAGAGAGATGGAGGAATATCATATGTTACTGAGCCACCACCTGGCCAATTGTTACTGCACCTCACTGTGTGCTTTTCATAAACTGATAATCAGTCATCTCTCCTTTAGATTGTTCACCGCTATGTCTCTGTCTCTGTGTGTGTGTGTGTGTGTGTGTGTGTGTTTGTCTGTCTGTGCATGCAGGTGATTGACCCATTTGAGTCCAGTGATCCCAGTCATTGGCCAGATGACAACACCAGACGGCAGCTGATTAAAGAATGCAGGAAGAGCTCCGCAGGACCTTTTTTACTGGTAAACAATCTACAGTATAGTGTACATTAACCATCAGCCACCGTTTAATCAGCTCCTGTTGAGCATTATTAATCTATAAACACCAACACCAGAGTGCACTAATTACAGTAGCAAACGATGCATCCCATACTGCTGTTCCTTCTGTGTCCACGTGGCGGTGCTGCAGGCCCTGGTAGGACACCAGTACGGCGCAGCCAGCCTGCCCGCCCAGGTGGAGGTGTCGGAGTACCAGCTGCTGCTGCAGGAGAGCCAGCGAGCGGGCATCAGCACCAAGGAGCTGGAGAGAGAGTACCAGAGGGACGAGAACACCATCCCTCCCTCCTACTGCCTGAGACCCAGACACACCTGCTGTCCCCAGGTGATCACACCATTCATCTTTTGTTGAGCAAACAGGAGTAGGTCTGTCCAAGTGCAGCTGTTAATTAAATGTGTGTACAAAAGGTACTAATTGATTAGTATTTATTTCCTTTAAAAAAAAACATACTAAGCATTTAGAAATATAAATGAATACTCTAAATATTAGATAATCCCATGTGTGTTTTCATGCATTCACAGTCTACATCAGATCACCTTGTATTTCTATAGTCAGTGTGATCATATTTTAGATGTAATTTGCATGGGTTGATAATATGTATTTATTTAATCACAACTGTTAGACTGTGATGCTGTTTTCTAAAAAGTATCAAACTGTTTGCTGTTTAGCAGGCAGAGGTTAAAGAGGAAGAGGAGAGGAGGATGAAGGCAGAGGAAGCGGAGCTGAGGAAGCAGCTTCAGACCACTGTGGGTCTGTGTGTCCACGAGGGTGTTCTGAGCCCAGAGAGAGCTCATAGCTACTACAGATCAGGTGAGATACACATCTGTGTGTGTGTGTGTAGGTTTTTGCTTGATGTTAAGGTATAATATAATTAAATAAGTGCTTTTGCTGCTTCTCTCCAGCCCTCGACGCAGATCTGAGATTTGCTCTGGACAACCGTCCTCGTAATGACTTCATCAGACGCTGCCTGGTTTACGTTCACAGGGTCAGTGACGCAAAAGGAGAGACAGAGAAGAGACGGAGGAAGTCACAACTGGAGCCACAGCCAGAGGTAAGAGACATCCATCACTTTCTCAGGATTTATGACAGAGTATCCTTGTTTTCTTAGTTTTAGAAAAGGAAACATTTTTCTAGTACACATGGCATGTTTGCCTTTTAAGAAACCAAACATTTGGTTTTGTTTTACCAGAAGGAGCAAGTGGTGCTTATGAGAAAAGTTCATAACAAGCAGTCTATGTGAAATTGGATTATTCTAGCTAATAAATAACCTCTTAAAACTACTACAAGACATCAAGACTTTTGATTCGAGTAAAGGTGATATGAGAAGCATAATGTGAGTCATGCCTCCATTAACGTGGTGAAGTTGCAAAATGAGTTATTTATCAGTTCCTGACAGAGAGATGTGATTTTTGTGTTCATCTTAGTAGTATAGGTCTAATAGAAATAGCTACATATGAAATACAGGTTGTATCAAAGACTCTTTTGTCTTTTATTTTCCATATCCTGTATTTCCAGGCCGATACCGTTGACCTAAGGACAACGCCCACTGATTCCCAGCTATTGTCAGAGCTTTGTGACAACTTCCTTCCCGGTCTCATCACCTCGTCTCAGCTTCTAGTCTACACCACCGACACACAGTGTGACTGTCGCCATGGCTACACGACAGCCAGGAGGCGGGGCTATGCCGAGTCTCTGTGCCAGCAGGTGTACTCTGACCTCGTGGGGTTGATTGACAGCTCGTGCACCTCAGAAGGCTGTGAAGGCTCTCCGCTCTTGGCCAGAGAGCAGGAGGAGCAGGAGAAGCTGTGTGACAGCCTGTCCCGACTTTATGACGTCATAAGGCCAGAGGAGGCAAAGGTGTTATGGTGTTTTATTTTTAATATGGCAATGTGAAGGATTAAGAACTGAGGGAGATTGAAAACAAAGTTAATAACATTCAGTACTTTACAATTTAGTGGGAGCCTTTTTTTTAACCAATTAATAGTCACATTGATATTTTGGGATTGATTTCCCTGTGTTGTGTCTTTCTGATAGAGCCAAACATTCCAGGTGCAACATTGCATCACTAGAGTTTTCTTTATATTTGCTGTAGGTCAGAGCCTTCGTGGAGCAGAGCGGTCAACAGTGTCCGCTAGTGGTGACAGGAGGACCATGCACAGGGAAGACGGTTCTGCTTGCACACTGTGCTCAACAGGTAAGTGAGCTGAAGAGAAGAGTGAAACTCACATGAGATGTTAATTCCCTCCACCCCGAACTAAATACAAACAATGCAACATTTATTACAAACACATAGTGGAGCTAGAAATAAGTATTCACAAATCTTCAGATTTTTTTTTTCTCAAAAAAGTAGCAGCAGTCCACTTAGAAAAGAGGAATATCTGTATTACATTTTTTTTTTTTATCCTTCCTATTTTTTTAATTGATATTTTTAGCTGGAAGTACTTAAAAGTGGAAACAATAAGCCATGAGTCAAATATTTAGTGACAGAAAATGTATTTGCAACTATTTTGATGATCAATTAATTGTTTGTCATTGTTTAAAGCCCAAATTCCCATAATTCAGTGACTGTAGCCTTTCAAATATGAATGTTTTCTGAGTCCTGGACTGTTGTATAAATTTGAATACATCTCATTGGTTCCTTGAAAATTGACCTTTTTCATTATTGACATCTTATAGACCAAACAATCGATTCATCGGGTAAATAATCTTCAGATTACAGTAACTGATAATGACAATAATCGGTAATTGCAGTTCTACTTAAAAAATACTGCAAAAAGGTTTAATGTGACCAAATCTTGATTCCATGCAGGATAAACAGACTAGACATTTAGATTGTAACACAGTGATACAGGAATCTGTACTACATGGTCTTGCCTACATGTGAAGAAGTGTTTTGTCTCTCTGTCTCTCCACAGATAAAGTCTTGGCTACCAGACTGTGATCCTGTGGTGATCACTTATTTTTGCAAACTGTTAATCAACCCTTCCACAAGGCACCTGTTGTCGAGCCTGTGTTGTCAAATTGGCGTTCGATATCACAGCGAATCTTCCTCTGAGCAGAATCCCAGCAACATGGACGATCTCAGCTGTGTCACTGACCTCCGGGACTTTAATTCCAACTGTAGCTCGACATCCAACGTTTGTCCATCTGAGCTAAAAGAGCGTCTCTCATCGCTCCTCACCTGCATGCCTTCTACCAAACAACCTCTAGTTCTAATCCTCGATGGCCTGGATCACATGGAAAAGGACTTAGGACCTCACATTTTGGAAAGCCTCGCATCTCCCCTTCCTCCCAACGTCAAGCTCATCCTCACAGTCTCCTCCAACCAACAGCGAGTCCTGCAAGCCATCACGCCACGGAGAAGTCCACCTCAGTGTGTGTCGGAGGGCAGTGAGGAGTCAGGATACGTGTGTGTTCAGCTGGCATCGGTGGACAGGAAACAGTGCGCGAAGATGTTGGCGTCGCTGCTGAGCAGTTCGGGGAGGAGGGTGACATCAGGACAACAGGCGCTGGTGAACCAAGCGCTGACTTCCTGTTGTCTGACTCTCTACACTCGACTCTTGCACCTTCACGCCTCGCTCTGGCACTCTGGTACGACTAAAAAAGGAAACCAACAGACATCTTTATTTTTATTTTAGTTAACAAATCCCATGAAAATGACCTAAACTAACAACATGTTAATCTATCTCTCAATACAGTCCAGTCTTTCCTCTGCAGTTATAACTCCAGCTAAATCTATTCCTAAAACAGCTGGGGACTGTGGGATTTTATGTTTTAGTTGTTAGTTGTTGGGGATTATTGGTATTATTATTAAGTGGATATCATGACACCTTGAGGTCCCTTAAGGATGGGCCAAGGGTGCTGCAATATTTATTTCAATTTTTTACTGTACGTTAATAACATTTTATTGTATAAAGAATGAGGTGACATATGCTTTGACTACATATCATATTTTCAAATGCATAAAAAGGATTACAGAAATTAAGAAGAACGTCTTAATCACCATATTTAAAACTCAACTTTTCCAGCCATCAGAAATAACAATAGTCTGATATTAGACTATAAATGACATTTAAATAAATGCTGATATATTTCATGCCTCAACAACAGTTTGATTACATTACATTTCTCTCCTTCTGTCCCTTCTTTCCTCTCACATCATCAGATTCCGATGTGACCGAGTCGTCTCTCCCTGCTGGCGTCCACTCATCCATTTCTGCGCTGCTCGATCACCTCGAGCAGAAACACGGCTCCTCTATTGTGGCTCGTGCCGTCTCCTACCTCACCCTCTCCAGGACCGGGCTGACTGAGGTCGAGCTCGCCGACCTGCTGTCCGGTGATCACAAGGTGCTGACCGAGTATGTTCAGCAGCATGAGAGCACTTCCTCCAATATGAGGGTCCTGCAGATCGACGTGGAGACACTTCTGTTGGATTTGAGGAGGTTTCTCATTAGGAGGACGGTTGCAGGGTCTCATGTTTTGTTCTGGGTGAGCAGGCATTTCAAGCTGGTGGTGGCCAAGAGGTGTTTGGGCACTCGTGAGGTGAGGAGGGAGATTCATTCGGCGATGGCGGACTATTTCAGTGGCCGATTGGCTTGCGGTGGAAGTGCAAAAGCACTTCTTGTAAAGCAAAAACCTGGACCGAACGCGGACATCGAACCTATGGAATTCTGCATAGACAGGGAGCCACTCAGTGTAGAAGCAAATGGCCAGTCGTTTGTTTTCTCCTCTTCTTTCAAAGAGGTTGGCCGAGTGAACTTGAGGAAGGTCTTTGAATTACCCTATCACTTGCAACAAAGTGACCAATTCGAGGAGTTGGAGCATGGGCTGCTAATGTCTTCGAGATTTCACCAGGCAATGGTTCGAGCAGGACTACTGGGAGATCTGGTAGCCATGTTAGAGAGTGAGGAGGGGTCATCCCACTTCTGTTTTCCAAGGGAAAGAGCCCTCCTGGCGAGCATACTGAAGTCTTATGCTTGCTTGCTGCAGAGCTCACCCCTGCACCTGCCCTCTGTGATGGAGACGAGCCTCCTGCCTTATCTGGAGGTCTTTCCAGGCCTCCAAGGTTATACCAGAGAGATCAGACAGGAGAGGAGGAGGAGAGGAAGCGGATTAGGAGTATCGCTTTGCCCAGCTCCCTTATCTGTTCCCTCCATTCAGTGTTTAGCATTTGATGCCAAAACCAAGGACGCCTCTGTTAGAGAAGTAGCTGGGACAGAGTTTGGGATTGTAGCGGAGATCATGGATGATGGCGCGGCTTTGATTTGGAAAGGCTCTGGGTGTGATGTAGTCAAACTATTACTGAGCTGTGAGCAGAAGGAGCTGACATTTGCGGGAGTGAAGAGCAGCGGTCATTTCCTGTTGTTTTCCACACAATGTGACAAGCTTCTCTTGTGGGATGTGACAGGCCCAGAAATGTTTCTGCAGGTTAAGGACCAGGAGTCAAGCCCAAAAACAGCAAACAAAATCGAGGGGCTCGTTGCGCATCAGAAAAGGGTATTCATGTGGTGGAAAGGCGAGAGTTTTGTGAGTGTGTTCGATGTCTCCAATGAGACCTTGACTCATTTCCAGTGTCAGAGCTGCGTGACCTGTTTGGTTTGCTCCTCTAATGGATTCTACATGTACTGTGGGCAGGAGGAAGGCACAGTGTCCATATTTGACACCAACACCAGCAGCTTCCTTGGCATTTGTTCAAACTCGAACCACATTGCGATTACATCAATGATCCTGTGTGAAGATAGGTGGGAAATGGCGTGTGTTGACAGGACAGGAAGTGTAAGCCTATGGGATGTGGCATCCAAAATAAACCCACCCAGACTTGTCACAGAAAGCTTCATTGGGGGTGAATCTAATGACATCCTCAATACCGATTACTCACACAAAATTGGCACTTTATTGGTGTGTCAATCTCAGCAGGTTGCACTGTGGGATACATGTGACTGGGAGCTGTGGGACCAGTTCCTGGCTCCGCGGGGGAGGGCCTTCACTCAAGCTGTGCTCTCCCAGGATGGCCACCTTTTCCTGGCGTTGTTAGATGCCTGTCCCTTCGTCTTGGTGTGGATGGTCAGCACAGGGGAGTGCGTTCTCTCCTTAGAAACAAACAAGCAGCCCCGTACACTCCTCAAGGTCTCCTCAGATGTTGTTTGTGTCGCTCACGATGGCTGCCTGACAGTGTGGGACTCTGGGGCGATAGATGCTGCGGGTACAGCTCCGAAAATGGGGCGTGGAGTGAAAGAAGTGGTGGTTGAACGAACAGGGGAGCGCTTCTACACCTCTGATGGCTCAGAGACGGTGTGGAGATGGAGATTAGAAACGGGACTTCCACACGCTAACTTCCTACATGACGGACCTGTGGAAAAGCTCTGTCTTTCTCCGGATAACATTCACCTCGTGACACTCTCAGCAGGGGAAATATATGTGTGGCAGACAGAAAGCGGTCAGAACATCCTGCGTGTGAGTGGCAGCAGAGCGACAGATGTCCTGATCACCCCCAACAGTAAGTTTGGGATCAGTATTTCTGATCGAGGATCGTCTCGCGTTTGGAAGCTGGCACATGGGAGCATTGTGTGCACCATACACCCGTACCTATCTGACGCCAAGGTGTCGCCCGCGAGCACCTTTCTTATTGGCCGCCGCCGTGGGGACCTGCTAGCTGCCAGTCTGTGGTCGGGCTCGATCAGCAAGCGTTTCTCCTCCGCTGAAAGCTCGGAGCACGTTGTTGCTTTCCACACACTTTCAGAGCACCCAGACTTTGTGGTGGTGATGGTCGACTCAGGGTCGGTGTACACCTGGAAAGTGGCAGAGGAGACGCTGTGCAAGCACTTCGAGCTGCCATATAGGTTTCACTGTCAGCCAGAAGACTTCCAAGTGTCCTCTGACGGGAGCTACGCCCTGCTGTCCACTGATAATGAGGCCATCAACCTCTTGGACTTATCTCAGGTCAGGCTGTGCTCATTCAAGGCCGAGGGTCCAGTCATTAAAGCTTATTTGGATAAAACTGGACGCTACGCTGCCTACATATACCGTCCCACCGCCGCCACCCTGGAGAAAAACTGCGTCTGTTACCTGCAAGCGAGGGCCGTCCTCACAGTTGTACAACTGGCAGACGGGGAAAGAATAGGAAGCGTGTGTCTGGCTAAGAATCCTCTGACTCTGGTTGTTTGTGAGCAGCAGCATGCGTTTGTGGGATTTGAGGACGGGTCTGTAGGTGTGTATTCTATTTTACATGTCACGATCAACGGGGAGGAGTCGGTCAGGTGCAGAGAGAACTTGAGTGGTCGGTTGAAGCGATGCCCCTTCGATAGAGCATTCAGTTGGCTACCACAAGCAACCCCCAATATTACATGGCCTTAAGATTATTAAACGCTGTTGTTGGACTGTGTTTTCAAAGTACAGATGATAAATATGATGGCACACAAAGTGCATTTGTGTGTATAACACATACTGTATATTGAAATATAAATACAAAAGACTGCATGTGTCTGTGTTTACACTTCTGGGGAAACTGCAGCAGCATTTGTTTCAGTTTCAGGCAGACTGAGTCAAGAGTATATGGCTAGATGATGAAAATGATAATGTTACACCTCACAGCAGAAACATCTACTTTGCATTTGAGTTTCATTTCTGTGAAAACAAAACCAGTAACTGCCCAGTTTGAGCTACTGCATGAATTGTTAACACATTTTGACACGTTGTATTTGTAGGATATTTTGGTATAAATGTCTTATTTATACTTCTTTTAATGTATTAAAAAGAAATGAAACTTTGACATGCCTACATCACATTTTGTGTTTCTAAGAATGACTGTCCTATTGCCAAAAATGTTAGAAAATAGCGCACTGTCAGTGAATGCTCTGCATGCTGCCTTCCCTGTTTCTTGGTAAAATCGTAAATCCCAGTACATCTAGCGTACATGTTATTGTTTGTGCTCTATTAGTTGCAAACAAATTGTACCTCGTTACAAACTTATCGTGTTAGATAGTTTAAACAGATATACTCACTCAACACGCTACTGTACACCCAAAGAACGGGTAGCTGAAGTGCATGTTTCCGAAGGGTTAAATACCACCGACAGCACTTGAAGGCAGCATCTTCTGAGTTAAATAGCCGCCCACCGCAAACACTGTAAACACATCAGCTGAGCGGAGACATGGTGCAGCTGTACTGCTGGGGAGACAGCACCAGTGGACAGTTCGGTCCTCAGGAAGCCCTCAGTCCGACTTCGTGGACTGTCCCCGGGGTCATAACCAGCATCTGCTGCGGGGACCGGTGCACTTTATTCCTGACTCGGGATGGAGGCGTTTTATCATGCGGACACAACTCACAGGGACAACTTGGACGAAAGAAACATAAAGATGGAAAGACGCCAGGTAACGTTAATAGTAAATAATAGCCCAGTTCATACTATTAAAGACGAAGACGTAGTTTTAAAGTAAAGTTTTGTTTTTTTTAATCTCATGACGGTTAAATTCAATGCAGGATTAACGTGTATTTATTTTTATTCAGAACATATATTTTCTAATATTTATTTAATTTTGTTATTTTTTTACGAGTCTGTCAAGACATTTTAATTCTTGTGTTTACTGATAAACAATGAGTTTGAGTTTATTGAGTTTCGTTTCAGTTTCGTTTCACTCTCGTCAGTGAAGGCAACGAAAGTTAACTAAGCACTTTCTAGTGCGTTGAGTTCAAGTGCAGGTGGGAAAGTTTAGAATAAATATTATGAATTCAAGGTGTGGCTATGTGATTAATAGGCTACGTTGCGTAGTGGTGGTGGTGGTAAAAGTATTAAGATGATAAAAGTAAAAGTATCACAATGTATTATACTCCTGCACTCAAGATGACAGACATTGCGATGATTATTGATAATGACTATAATTCAACAATCAATTACTCATCGTGCAGTTATTTTATTACATTGTTTTTGTGTTATATTTTTGTATTATTGTTATTGATGTATTCATATTCAAGCAGCATTTTGTTGTAGCAGGTTGAGGTGGAACTTATTTATCCACCATTGGTGCTCTTACAAAATAGTTACACAGATTTCTGATAAATAATCATCAGTAATGTGGGTATAATGACTAAGTGGGTACAGGTAAATAATAGAACAGTCTTGTAAATGCAGAAAGTACTCTTTACTGTAATGCACCCTCTCATCTAGTCTCATAATATCAATCAATACCCAGCCCTAAAAAGTTACTTCCAACCATTATTAATAAGCATTGTGAATTTTCCTGCTTTATAGATTATTCCGGGTTTGTGATTTTCTGTCTGTCGTCCTGTATCAGGTCGTGTGGAGGGGCTGGGCAATGTGGTGTCGATAGCGTGCGGACAGGACCACTGTCTGGCTGTGTGTGCATCTGGACAGGTGTTCTCCTGGGGGGCAGGAGACAATGGGCAGCGAGGCATTTTACCAAATCTACTGTGCGACAGACTAAGGTAATGGAATATATGTATATTCATACTTAAAGTAAGCAAAGCTTTTAAAATGTTTTAACATATTGTCTCATCAACATGCAGTCAGGTGCCGATGCCACTGCAAATAATAGTGATTCAAGTTGCTTGTGGGAACTCCCACTCTCTGGCACTGACTAATGGTGAGACAATGAACACACCCATGACATCTTTGTATGTTTTTTTTGGAACAGTGCCAGCTTATGTAATGTTTAGTTATGCGTAATGTAGTCATGATTTGGCTTTGGTTTTCATACGTCATTAAATCCAGTTCTTCCATTCCCCTCAGGCATGATAAAGTGCAAAGTAAATGTTCTTTAACGTAGCACAGTAGGAGCTTCAAGGGAACACAGCCGCAGCAATGGCTTACAAATAAAGTCAATTTAAGAAACTGACCATTTATATTCCGCCACTTTGGCACTTATCTCCCGAGTGGTTAAGGACACCAGCCTCCTATTAACACCACCTGTTTTATGTGTGAAATAAATAGTTTTAAAACTGTATAGACAAAATATATGAAGTGTGTTTAAATTATTTTTTTCTCCATTATTTTCCACTTTAAAGGAGGCGATGTGTTCTCTTGGGGGTTGAACAGTCATGGTCAGCTGGGTCTGGGGAAAGAGGTTATGCTGCAGTATGTACCAGTCCTGGTATGTGCTCTGAGCGGCGTAGCGGTGACCCAGATTTCAGCCGGAGCGACCCACTCTCTGTTCCTCACACTCCCAGGCCTGGTCTACTGCTGTGGGGCCAATAAATCTGGCCAGCTGGGGCTCAACAGGGTGGATGAGAAGGGTACAAATACTTTACTTTAACTTACTTACACACTCACTTGCTCCCATTGAGCAAGCGGCAGAATATCCATTAAAGTGGAGATTAATTCTATGCATGACAATCTGCACCACCTACAGGCAAAGAGAGGAACAGCTGCTGCAATTTCAACACACACCACCTGCAGGCCACGAGCCTCATAATGTCTTCACACCAAGTGAACTTTTGGCGTAGTGCGATTACATTCAAAGCCAATTCAAACACTTGAACAGATGCGAATTTGCGCAAGCTGAAATATTTCAACTTGGGTGAGAAAATGTTGGTATCTCATATTTGCACAGAGATTGGATGAAAATAAATGTATGTGCATAAACAATGGCGTCAATGACGTATTGATGCCTAGATGGCGTTATTTTGAGTTTTTAAGGAGCAGATACAATGTTAGCGTAGCCTAGAACTGATTTATCTAAGCATTTTAGAAGTTTTTTGCTTGGCGTCTTGTGAAAATGACCTGAAAAAGCATAAATTCCGACTCTGCAAATCTGCATCATGATGTAGATATTTTGGAGTCCGTTTAATCCGTTTATTGCAATTAAAACACAGCAAATCTGTTTATTTTGGGTTCACAACGCTGTATTAAACCAGCCAATGTGTGGCTTGCTAGATACAGTTAATAAAGCTCAGTGAAATTCACTGGGAGCCTCTGAACGAAGTTCTGAAACCCAGACAGACATTTTGGTTTTCCAACGTATCTGGGACTTCCAAAACATGTATTAAAGCATCGCCGTTCTCTTCCTGTCCACCAGATGCCCTCTGACTTTCTCCTGTCCCAGTCACCTCACTCCCACAACCAGCCCCTCCCCCCTGTCCTGCCATAGCCAAGGAGAAATAAGAGAGTAGATGTCATGCGCTATGTCATAGCCACTGCGCATGTGCCACACAACACATAGAGCAAGACCGTTGTCCGGGCATTCATTCAGTAGCCTCCAGCAGAACCCCGTTCCCTTCCCCGCCCACCTGCTCACCTGCATCCACTTTCCTCAGCTGCTGTGCAGATATTTAACCAACCCTTTCCCATTCACTCCTTGCTGGATAGTGATTGTTCCTCTGCACCTTTGTGTTCATGCCGTTGTTACCTTTTACCATGAAACTTGGGCTCTTGGATACGTAACTGAAATCTGTATCTGCGTGCGTGCACTTTTCCCTGCCCCATCCCTGCTATTCTGTGGACCCTATACTTCTTCTGTTTGGACATGCCAGTAAGCTCACGTCTGTTCCCCATTTTTAAATGTATCCCTGCACTCTTCCTGTCTGCTTGAATTATCTGCATTTGAGTCTGTTTCCTGTTGCTGCTCTAACACCCCCTTGACGGCTATGTTTTTAAAAAAGGAAAGAAAGGAATGAACCCATTTCCCAAGTTGTGACTCAGTTTTCTATCTATGTAGCCAAAATGTCACATCCCCTTGCTAGTTTTACGTGGTGCATGTTTGTATTAGGTAACAAAGTCACAACTTGTAAAAATGAATCAAAAAATATTTTTCATTGTGCTGCAAACAAAATATTTTTTCATCTAAAAATGTTTGAGGATTCTGGAAATGTCTAGATCAGAGTTACTAACAGGTGCTATTGACCTCCTAATTATGTACTGTAGTCCATCTTTTTTTTAATCCAAACTCATTTATGTATAGTTTTGAAGTAAGCATCTTTTTTTTCCATTTCTCATAATCTTTAACAGGCAGGTTCAACATCTGTATGGTACCTGCCCTCAGACCTCTAGGTGTCTCCTTCATAAGCTGTGGAGAGGCACACTCTGCTGTGTTAACAAAGGTACAATATCTTCTGACTTTGTTCAATTATTAATTATCACATTGTATAGATGATGACGGTCTTAACACGTCGCTGCTTGTGATGCTGTGATTTCTAGAATGGCAAGGTTTTCACTTTTGGAGAGGGAAGCTACGGTCAGCTCGGTCACAAATCCTCTGCTAATGAAGTGGGACCCAGACTGGTCAAAAGTCTTGACGGACCCGCCTCCCAGATTTCATGTGGCAGGTATAAAGTAGGAGGGGGCTTATGTGAAACACTGAAAATGTGTTTTCATTTAAAGGGAAAATTTGACACCTTTTATGGGGAGGTATAATCCCTGCTGATGGTACTGTAATTGTAGTCCACTTAAGAAATGAATACCCCAGTAAGCTGATCTCTCCTGCTGCGGAGTCATGCTGGCTGTGCCTACATGTACCAGGATGCATTGTGTGGGAGAGGCAATTTTGCGAGACAATCTCACAAAACGTCAATGAAGGACATATTCTTACACCTGAACCAAAAAATACATCTGAATTAAAGTTTCTCTCTGACACTGAACTAAGAGAGGTTTCATTTCCTTGTTAACTCATCGTAAAACACATTCAAACCGGACAGAAACAAAAACAAACAGACCTTCAACTGTTCCAAAGATCAGCAACACTGGTTTGGAGGATATATATCCTTAATTCACAGAGTAAGATGTGAAAATATGGCGGCTATATATTCGTTAAAGGATTACTTAGTTTTGGCATCGTAAAATCATTTGAGAATATCTAACTTGAAAGGCCTAATTGGAGTACTTTTACTTTATGAAGTGCAACATAAAATTCACAGATGTTTTCTTGTCTCTCAGACGTCACACTCTGGTTTTGGGCACCTCCGGCCAGCTGTGGGCTTTTGGCAATGGAGCCAATGGTCAAATTGGGACTGGAAGGCCAGAGGACAGTCTGACTCCCACTCTGGTACATTTTCCATGGACCGCTGATAGTGCAGCAGCCACACCCAAAGGTGTGTATCTGTAGACAGTATGTTCCTTAATTATCCCAGGAGATGCATGTTAGGATGTAACATGGCTGCCAAATACTATTGGATGAAGTTTTGAGTTAAAGATGGTCCTTTTTCACGGACAGTTCTTCAGAAATAAACTGTTGGCAGTAAAATATTCAGTTAAATTCAAATGGAAGTATATTCATTGTGTTCTGTTAAAGTAGAGGGTGGTGTGATACTTTTAGATTTTTATATTCTGATTGTAAATGTGTTTTATTTGTTGAAGCAGACTTGAAAATATCAGCTGGGTGGAACACAAGCTTCACTTACACTTCGCCTACACAGGTATTGTGTCCTCCTATTAAAGACTCATTGCTCCTCTAGATTTTCACAGAAATCTACCCAGATTGAATTAATTCAAAGTAAGCACATTGATGTAAAAGTGTTTTTTACATGGAATGAATGTCCCTTTTGTATCAACATATTTCAGGTGAATTTTAATTACTATGCTGTCATGATCATTGAGCTGGCTAGCTTAAAGTAAAGTGTATTGTTTGTCATTTAAGAGCTTGGACCGGGGACAGATAACTGGGCGTCTTGATGAAACAAAACTGCAAAGATGGCTGTCAATGAGACATGGCAACGCAGAGGCGAAGAGGTCCTTTTTTCATAACTGTATTGTGGTTGTATGTAGCTGCACAAATAAAATATCAGTCTCATAAGCAGCAACTACAGTGTTTGTAAGTTCCCCTCTTTGTTTATCCAACAGAGAAATCTCTGCGATGTTTCTGACGAGTTCAAGTCTTGTTGCAAGTTTCACAAAGCCTGAGTGAGTCCTTTTTCTATTGTTTACTGTTTAGTAGCAAACTCCGCTATAATGTTAAGATTGTGAGGGTCTAGTGACTAGGGACTAGTACTGCTACTTGGTTTTAATCCTCTGCTTTTATCAGTGGGCCTCCATCTGAAGCAGACGTCTTAACTGTGGACCTTGAAGCAGCCAGCCAAGCTTTCGACCAGCTGCTGGCAATACCATGGATCAAACAATCAGTAAAGAACACAAATTTCACTATTTGCATGCATCACTTAGCTCATTTGTTCTGTTGCTTGAGACATAAATTGACTGAATGAGGAAAGCCCTTCTGTAAAGTTTAACGACTTACCAGACTCTAAACCTCTTGTAGATTAGAGGGATTTAGATTCGATTCATTTCTTTACAAACGCTTGCATGCTGTGTGAACATTGCCATCATATGTCTATTTTCCATGCAGGTAAACCTTAAACGCCTGATTGACGTGCTTTTGGCATCGACAACTGCCCTAAAATCACCAGAGATCCTCTTGATTCTGCTGACATGTCCCCTTTTCCAAGAGGAGACTAATGTCATGACCGGGGCGTTGATGTTGGCCGTCATTATTGGAGAACTGCCTGAGAAAACTCTGGCAACACTAAGTAAACAACTACAGCACACTTTATCTTTTAGTCTCTTTGTTACAGGTGTGGGAAGACAAAAATGATCCTTGAGCTTACTGTACGGGTCACACAATTATACATTAAATATTGAATATATTAACCTTTTGTTTATTATTACCCTGACAATTTAAATCATTTGACGAAATACACATAATCATTTGTGAACATTATGTTAGCTGGTTATAGTTACTTTCAGAATGTCACCAAGTAATGTTCAAGACAAAAATAAATTGCAAATTATTTAATTAATGGTTTAAATGTTAAGATATGTCGCAATTTACGTGTGGTGCTACTTGCAGCATGTTTCTGTATTTTGTTGTATTTTCTCTATTTGCAGTGTTTTTTTCTAAATGCTTTGGATACAGTATAATTTACAGTAGGTTGAGCTCTCTGGGCCACCGTATCCATATAAGTCCTACAGTGTTTTTTTAAAATCCTGCAGGACGCTGCTGGTCTTCCCTGTCACCCGCCATACTGATGAGACACGTCTTGGTGTTCAGAAACGCCCTGGCCTTCATGCTAAGAAATGGCCTCTTGGCAACTCACAACCCAGGAGTCAAATACCTGCTGGAAGCCCTCAAGCTACTCTACAAAGTCAGTGCTGTGTGTTTTTATTCCAATCGTCAGTGGGTTTGGTGTTATGGTCATTATTTCCAGCAAAGTCATTTTCTAAAGGGTTTTTTTGGAAAATATTTGTCCTCTTGTGTGATCAGAATTAACACTGAGAACTAAAAGTAGTCTCGTGGCTGATTAATTGACAGTTTTTAAATGATTCCCATCACAAGTTACCAGAGCTGATGCTGTCTGACCACCATTGTCCATTGATGGCCTGGAATTTTCTTTTTACATTACTGAATGAAAATATTTTTGCTGGTATTTTTTTTTCTGATGTTTTTATTTTTTCACAGGCAAACAAAGCTCGAAAGTCTTACAAAGTCCCACTGAGCACCTTTTATGTCGAGGAAATCAGAACAAGTGTGATGCCAGTCACTGATGTTACACTTTGGAATCAATTTTCTAAAGTCGAGGTAAGAACATACAGTACAGTATAAACTGCTGACACTGTTGCAGTGTTTCAGAGGAACAATCTGTCCTTTTGTCCTGAATTATTTTAATTTTCTGTGTGAGAGCTTTTTCTGAAATTCTTTCCTGATAAATCATTGATTATCTTCTTAAAGGATGACGTCAACACACCCGCCATCTTCTGCCGCTACCCATTCCTTTTCACCCTGGTTTGCAAGGTGACGGTCTTCAACATCCATTCATCCTTAATGAAGGTACAGTATGTAGTAGAAATAGATCATTTGTAATTATTTACTTGACGTCAATGATGATGAATAATAATGATAATATGGCTGCAATTGTTGGTTAATTTGAGCATTCTTTTTAAATAATATGTATCTTGTACTGTATCATTTTAATAAAATAGCTTTCCTGCTGTGAGATTTCTTTGTAAAGAAGTGTTTTGTAATTACAGGACGTGCAACGTGTGATTCATAGTATGGCTTCGTGGTGTCCTGAGGAGTTCTGGTTAGATGGCCCAGACGCTGCCCCGGCCCCGGTCTTCCAGCTAACTCTGAGACGAACTCACCTGGTCGAGGACACCTTCAGACAGCTCAGGACTGCCGACCACTGCGCTTTCAAAAGGGAGCTTTTGGTAAACACGCCATCAACGCTTTGCTAAGCTTTTGAGTTCTGAAGCAAAGCTTTGTAGATTTGTAGCTTAAACTTAGCATTTAGAAGAATGAAAGGGGTCCTCCAGCAATTTAGTTTTGTGTTTCCATAAGATTGTAGGACTCACAAGGGACGAAAAATGCTCGAATTTATAGCATCAATGGTCAAGATATTAGAAGATTTAGTCCCTGGTATGGGAAGAAGAACTGGACAACACTGGCGCCTACGCTTCCCACAATGCAACTGCAACTAAATAACATGTTTTCCATTATGTGTAAAATGTATTGTCCCCTTGAGCAAAATGTTGGTTACAGTAAAGATTTAAGGTAATATTGGAAATGAGTTGACATAAAAAATCGCCTGGAAACATCCCAATACTAATTAGAAATGTTTATTTTTTTGTAATAAGAATTGAATTAATGTACAATTTTGTTGACTAAAGTTTAAAATGTGGCTGTTGGTTGTAGCAACGAGAGGACTGTGTGAAGGTGAGCTGTCAGTATAGTAATTATGCGTTTGGAAGTCCCACAAAACTGTTTGTTTCATGCGCAAAATGGATGTCAGGGACGTCCACCCTGCATGGACATTTATCATTCGAGATGATAGTAATTCTGTTTGTGTTCAAGGACTCAAAGGATTCTATTCTATCCTTCCTAGGTGCAATTTGCAGAAGACCGGAAGTTGACGAATGTCAACAAAAGAGACCTCTTCCTGCATGTGTTTGATGATCTGATGGCTCCTGAGTCTGAAATGTTCATGTACAATGAGAGCAACACTCTGGCTTGGTTCCCTCCCAGGGTAAGACCAGAAAATAAAGGAGAAAACCATGTATTCATGTCTTGCATATACTAATCCTTTGTAGTAAGCACTAAACAAATCCTTTAAAAACATTTAACACCGTCACATACAAGTGAGCTGAGTACTATAAAAGTGTGAATAAGTAATATTGAATGCACAACGTGAATGTTAATGTCTAAGTTTAAGCAACACATACTGTACATCTGGCCTTATCATCCTGTGAAAACGTTTAGACAGTCGTGGCATCGTGCCAAATCCTGATCATGTGTTTGTCATCAACTAAACAGCCAAAAGTGGAGGAGAAGACTTACTTCCTGTTTGGCGTTCTGTGTGGCCTGGCTCTTTACAACCACAACATTGTCCACATGCCCGTCCCACTGGTCCTCTTCAAGAAGCTGCTGAGAGTCAAACCCTCACTGGACGACATGAAGGAGTTTGAGCCTGTCATGGCAGAGTAAGAGTTCCTTTATTTTGTTTTTCTATTCTTGATTAACAGAAGGACTTTGTGCATAACTGCAGAAAGATATATAGTCTGTTTGGTAGTTTATATTTGAAACACTTAATCGATGACATCTGCACGTCATATCTGTGTTAAATTGATCTTTTTGTATATTCTCCGTGTCTTTAGGTCTTGGAGGTGCATGTTGGAGGACTACGCCCCTGATATCATCAAAAAAATGGAGATTCCTTTCACTGTAGGTTTACTATATCACATTCAGAATGACTCCCAGTGTAATAACCTACTTTGACTATGATGCCTGCACGTGTCGCTGCAATATTCTAATCTGGCTGTAATTACTGTTCTTTACAGGCGACCTGGGGCGGTGAGGAAGTTGAGCTTGATCCGACGGAAACTGGAAAACTTGTCACAGCGGCGAACAAGTATGTTTATACAGTTTGCACGATTCTCACAGCAACACAGATTTAGAGTCAAACTTTAAATGTTTCTGTCAGTCTGTGTCTCTGATATCCTCTCAAATTTCCTGCCATTTCGCAGTGAGTAGCGTCCAGTTCAACCTTTCGGCCCATAGAGGGCAGTGCAACAGTACTTTTCTGCCATTCAAGACTTAAGGAACATTTATGTAAAAAGACTTGCAGTGGAGAGGGAAGATTTGTGGACAGTGTCAGCACTCAGTTGAAGCTACTTGTATATTCTATTTTATTTCTATTATTATGTTTTGTGGTTGCACGCCGGTCCGTACTAGTCTCGTGAACGCGGCATAAAACTGCGAGGCGGTAATTCCAGTTGTAATTATTTTTCTCAATAGGAAAGAGTTCGTAGACACCTTCATCGACTATGCCTTCAACAAATCAGTGGCGGGAGTGTTCGAAGAGTTTAAGAAGGGCTTCTTCAAGGTGTGCGACATCGACGTGGTGGAGTTCTTCCAGCCCGAGGAGTTGCAAGCAGTGATGGTGGGCCAAGAAAACTACAACTGGGACGTGTTGAAGGAGGTCTGCTGGAAAGCTTTTTCCTTTTGAATCTTTAAGAGAGTCAGAAATGTAGATACTGAAATTTATCGTTACTCATTTTAAATTCTGAATTTTATATTAACTTGTGTCATGAGATATAACTTTAAACAAGAATACAGTATGGAAATACGGCAATGAATTGGCCTATTTGTCTGTATGTTAGATTACTTCCAAACAGTTTTTGTCAGAGACTTAAAATTTGAGTCAAGTTGTGAACTATTTTTAAACTTTGTTTGAAAGTAGTTCCTACAGTTTTGTGCTTGGGAGGACGGTTCCCAAGATATAAACTACCAAACAGCAAAATTTGTTGTTTTCAGATTTGATCTTCTGGCAGCATACTGTAGTTTATGAATTTTGTACTTGGTAATTTTGAGGTTTCCCCACAATCACCTGAACGCATCGACAAGAAGTGATTCAAAGCTCATACATGCAAAGCGCATCAGCACACAATATAGCTTTGACCAAACCATCAAAAAGGAATGACATAGCATAGGAAATCAGACTTAAAACTATGTTGTTGAATTTGGGTTACAAGCCACAAAGATTGGAAAAACACTCATTTAATCTTTGACATATTTTATTATACTGGCTGTCAGATCAATTGTCGTGGAGTAAAACTCTTCCCGTCTGAATTGTAGTGCAGTAGAAGTAAAAACTTAGAAATATTCACGTAAAGTAAAAGTACATTCATTTAGTACTTAAGTACTGTCGTTGAGTAAATTCCACAACTGTTTTTCCCAAACAGAACACCGTTTATGAAGGAGAATACCACGAGCAGCATGCAAACATCGTGACCTTCTGGGAGGTGTTTGAGAAACTGACGGCAGAGGAAAAGAAAAAGTTCCTTCGTAAGTATTATACATTGATTGTGCTTATTATTTGTTTTCATCAAGTTTGACTTAAGAGTAGAGTGGTGGTCTCTGTCAATGTTTTTCCTTAGCATTTTAATAATTTAAGATGCAATTTCTTCGCCAGTGTTCGTCACAGGCTGCAACCGGGTTCCCTTCCTGGGCATGGAGAGCATCAAGATGAGAGTCGCTGTCTTGCTCGACGCCACTGAGATCCATTTGCCAGAATCTCTCACCTGTCATTGTCTGTTGTTACTGCCCATCTACCAGAGGTACCCGGTCCAGAGGACGATGAAGACCCGGCTCCGTGAGGCTATTAATCACAACAGAGGCTTCTGGAAGAAAGTAGACACTACAGAATGAAGTCTGCGTCATTCAACTTTCTGTTTTCAAATTCTATATTGAGCATTATTTAAACTATTACAAAGAATTAGAACCAGCATTCCCACATATTCATTTAGCTTTGGCGAGTCACAATAAATAGGCACAGGTTTCTAAAGATTGTAAAGATATGTTATGTTTGTGTGATAAAGAAAAACTAAAATGTGTGTTCACCAGGAAATGCATTACTGCCTTGCTATTTGTACCTAAATAACTGACTAAATAAATACATTTCTCTTCAACACTGGCTTGCAGGTTATGTATTTTTGATGTTTTTTTTTTTGTAACCACAGGTCAACTATAAAAACAGTCTAACTTCCAACAGGGTTTGGTTATTTCCTGGATTATTTGATTTCCTAGTGGACTCAGTTAATTGGATATCTTTTAGTACAATCTTGATTTTGTAGTTAACAGCAGGCCTGATGGCCACATCAGCTTAAAATAACCTTTCTCCACCATAAGTGGTCGAGTCCTTTTATTGTAATGCAAATTTAGCTGCAATAGCTTCTGTGGTAAATAAACTAGCTCATAAAACCCAACTCGCAGCTCCATCAGTCCACGTTATTTAACAGTGGTTATGTCACTCTGTCTGCTTTCAGCCTACTTTGACAGTGAGGAACGGGATTCTTAATGATTAATCTTGAAAGAGTAAATCACCTGCCACGTATAGAATGAGTCATCTGTAATGAGATGCTGCAATTTCAGGAATCCTATTTAAATGAGCACTCTGTCAAAAAATAATTGGAAAAAAGTTTTATTGGCACCTCAGTTGACTGAGAAAAGTGTTCATCAATAATTATACGTTTTGGGGAAAATGCTAAAATCCTGAATTTTGAATAGCGTCCTGAATTCATTTAAATTAATGTGATTCCTACCCTGGTTTGAGCTGACATGGGCAACATAAAAAAAATTAAAAAAACCGACATTAGATGATTTACAAGTACATTAAAGCACAAAAAGGTATTTCTGCCATATATTTCACATATCTCAGAGACGAACCAGCTCTCCCCTTTCTTTACATCTTTCAATATGAAAAGCTCTAAATAATTTACTCGGTTTTTAAAAAGGATATCAAAGTTAGCTCAGTATTTAATTGCGAGGTCGACACCCTCATGTCGTGGCTTACAAATCAGTCAATTTGTTTCTATTCAAGAATTGTCAGGCAGCAAAGCTTGTACACTTATCAGAGCACATACAAAACGATGAAACAGATAAAACTGAGTGGTTACTACAGCCACACACCGGTTAGATGACCCTTGTGTCCACATCCCATAATGACAGAACAGGTAATTCTCTGAGCCATGAAGTAAACATTTGTCAAAATGATGATATCTTAAACCTGGATTTGACTTATTTCTTGTCACTAAATGGACGGTTTGTATGAGGTTAGTGTACTTTCTTTAGTCGGCTCAGAAAAATCCCATGAAATAGACCAGAGAAACGTCTGTGATAATACTTTTGCTATACACAAATATACTTAAATATCACTAAAAAACATAATTAACAAATAATTACAAAGCCACTTACTCTTGATACACATTTTTACACATGGACATTACATGAAAAAAAGACAACAAAGGCAATACTAATGACACAGGGCTGTGCTGTGAGAGAAAAGGCAGTCGTGCCTCACTTCCTCTCGTAGCATGTGTTGTTTTGCTCCATGCAGACACGGTGGTGAGTGTGTAAGTCTGTCTCAATGTCTGGGAAGTGGTGGGATATTTTCCAGACAGCTGTGGCTGTTATGCGTTTCATACCAAGTCCAACTTCTTTGATGCGTGTGCTTCCTTTACGATGGCGTTCGGACAGTTCATCTACACTGTGTGTGTGTGTGGGTTTTATCTGATGAGGTGGTAGGTGAGCCAGTACATGAAGATGGGTTGTGCTGCTGCTATAGACATGGTGAGGTACATCCTCAGCTGGTTTCTGGTTCCTCTCACCAGTCTCCCCTCGGCCGCGGTGTCAGATAACAGCTTCAGACGCAGAGTTCTGATCTGAGGAGGGACGACAGTCAAATATTCATCGACCATTAAACAAACATACGAGTCATCAGCTGAGACGACCACATGACTTGTGACATGCGGTTAAAAACAACAGCCTTGCCATAACATTCATCTGTGTGTGGGCAACAATGTTCAGATGTGTACATTCATGTGTTTGATTAGATTGACATCAGTTCTATGTATATGTACAGGTACACTTTGTAGGGAAGCGTCCAGGATGCCAAGAAGAAAACATCCTTTCCAGAATAAAGAGTATATCATTCTATGCAGTGCAAAGGCATCTAATATATGTGTGTGTGTGGTAGACATCGGTCCCTAATTATTGTAAACAGACATATGTCGAGTAAGATCATTAAGTTAAACTCTCAAGAGTTAGTAGATGCTGCTACTCACCATGAAGACAAAGATGGCGGCGCAGCACCACAGTAGAGAGAGATAGTACGCTGGCCTCCCAAACAGCAGGCCTGCTACTACGCCGATGATCATCCTGAGGAAACAGAGAAGAGACGCATTAACATTCACGGGTTAGGCATAATATCCACAGAGCCTTAAGTGTTGAACTAAATTTACGAGATGTTTTGTTCTTAGCATCGTTTAAGGGGAAAATTAACCATTAACATCTGAGCAAAATAAAGAAATTCAACTGTTGAGAGGAGGTGAGAGGGTGAGTTGGTGATGAAAAAGTGAACGTAGACAAAGACGCTGCGCATACCCAACATATTTATAGCCGGAAAAGGCCAGCAGGTCGATGGTCGTGAGGTCAGTGTTGGCGGACACAAGGTAGAGCGACAGCAGGACCGCCAGGACCTCCATGACCAGCCACACAAAGGCTGAGCTGGCCTGAACTCCCAGCAGCTCTGGAGAAAACCTGAAGGGTGCACAATAAGATAGTTTAGATTTATACAGTGTGAACTCTACACTAGACTCGAGTTGTAGTGCGTTATCAATGTGAGGTGTGATGTACCTGTTCTGCGTGCCGAGGGCCAGTCCAGCCACCAGGACGTATGTGATGAAGCCCATGGCGGGAATGTAGAGATCAGGAGCGTTCACATCAAAGCGTGGAGCCACAGGAGTATCCTGCTGGTAGCTCACCTCCCAGTTCTACAACACACACACACACACACACACACACACACACACACACACACACACAACTTGCTAAATCCTTACTGACATTTTGGGCTGAAAACATGGGAGTGTTGTAGCATAGATTCCTGTAACGATTCATAAATTTAAACTGCAACAGGCAGAACTAGAATTAGATATTTTGTCTCAACCCGGAGAATATATGGAAAGCCGCACAAGCACAGGACTACCTCTACTGGTGCAAAGTAGCATATAATACAGAATAATGTATATTTAGCAGGTGTAAACGGACTTACCTTGTGCATGTAAGGGAAAACTAGAAGGCCCAGCTTCTTCCCAACGTACACTGTATCCACAGCAAAGTAATATTTCATCTTAGAAATTGGGATGAACCTGTCCAGCTGAAACAAGCAAGCACACAGACATACATGCATGCATTATTCAGCCTGCTTTTGCCTCGACCTGCTGTATTAACAGGCTTTTGAGGCCATTGTGAGGGAGCCCTTTGCATCATTTCTGGTAAGCAATAATATAAAATATTAACGACTCAAGTCTTACGTTCTTGTCCACCATTTCCCGTCCCTGGGATGCCAGTGAGCTTCCATATGCCATGGCCAGGTTAGACATGGGGTCTGACAGGATGGACTGGCCAGTAAATCCTGCTGCTTGAGGCCCGGCCTGCTGGTTACTGCCAACATATCACAAGAAAATAACAGCTTAAAGTAAATGATACGTGTCAGCTAATTGATCTGATCGATTGACAAAGGTAGCCTGATTTTTCCTTGATGTCATATAGTGCAAAAACATAGTAAAGTGCAATAAGAGGATATATATATATTCAGAACAGTTCCTATCCAGCCTAAGTTCAGCCTTGCTCCAACCTGTACCCCGTCTGTAGTCCATGTGCTGCTCCACTCCTATCCTCAAACAGCTGGCTGCCTTCTAAACCGTCCGCAGAGCTGTTCCTTTGACGCATATTAGGCTCTGGATGAAAAGAGAGAGTGGGTGAAGAGAGAGATGTGTGAAACAAAGGAGATCTGAACCTCTCAAAATCACTTACAATCTTAGGGGTTGAAAAAAAAAAAAAAAACTTTAGTAAAGCAAGCAAATGCAAGGCAGCCACAACTACGGGAAACCAGAGTAACCAGCATGCAACAGTTTGAGTGAAGAAGAGACTTTTCCGAACTTATCCTCACCCTTTTCTGTTGTTTAAGTGATAGAAATCACATTGTCTTTTTAGACAACAAACATGGGTGTGTCTCGTCAGTGAGCATTTTCAGTAGTAAAAAAAAAGCCATGTAGCAGATTTAATTCCCCACTTCTGAAGGGGCAATAAAGTTAAAGTGTGTTGCTAAATTAAATTGACTTTAGAATACTGTGCCCTCAAAACACAAATCAATAACAGAGTTTGTGTACAAATGACAAATTCTGTTATAACTGTTCACCCAATCCCAGTGTGAATGCTTTGTGCAGGAGAAAGAGCTATTTAAATCCATTCCCTGAGGGAGTAATAACCTCATCACACGAGCAGATTACATCACCTCTAAAGAGCCACAAACCGGTTCAGTTTCAACCTCCTTTCCCTAATGGCAAAGAATAAATGAGGTCCCAACACAGAGCAGCCAACAGCCAATACTAAAAATATTTAAACCTGACAGTCAGTCAACATTGGTCTGCTGTGCTTTAAGGGAGGCGTGTTTACATTTGATGACATTCCTGTTTATGGATCCGAGTCAATAATAAACACAAGCCCCGCAATCTAACCTAGATTGCACACTGCATGCTAGCTAACGTTGGCTGGCATGCTTTAAATAGTCTGTAAACACTAAAAATATCCCACAGTCTCCACACAGACGGGACATAAATGACATGTAACACTACAGAGTGACCCCGGGTCAGCGCGAGGAACTAACGTTATTGTTAGCCAGCCTAGCCGGTGTAACATAACAGTTAGGTAACTTAGCTAGTTAGCATTTCAACTCGCTTATGTTTATTAACGGTTTGTGGGCAAGCTATCGGCTACCAAGTCCCCTTTATTTAGCTAATAATGTCTTCCGCGTTACCTATAACAGTATAGTGTGGTGAACCCACGGTTAATGTTTAGTGTCTGTGCTTTTGGAAGTTGTTTAACGTTATCTAACGTTAGCTAACGGTTAGCCTCAACCGGCTCAGTTCCGTTTACGTTGGATTCCGGAAAGCTAACAAGTACAGAATGTGCACGTGCAGCTGGTAGCTTATATTAATGGCTGATTTGATTGATAAACTCACGTACGTAACTTACGCTGTCTGAACCCACTTTGAGTCGGTGTATAATCCATTTGGACAAACTTGATGGTAGCCAGTAGTCAGTTCACTAACTCCACCGAGATGCAGTTGCTACTAGTTAGCAAGCTACACGGGAGAGTTGAGTTGGAGCGAGTCATTCATACATTTTACACGGAAGTAAACGCTTTCTTCTTCTTTGTTAGTTTTAATGACTTGATACAAACCAATGTGAAAGGTGAATACCACCACCTAGTGTATCGAATCGTCATAGGTTAAATAATATAAAGCATGTTTTACCTTGTCCTTAATCTCCAACAATTGTGAAATACTCCACTTTCTATGAATCTTGATTTCTTTTTCGGTTCCTGTACTTTACTCACATATTTTTCATTTGTGCTTCTTTGAACTTCTACTCCACTATATTTCACAGGGAAATATTGTACTCCACATGATTATATACCCAACAATATGTAGCAGCTCCACTTCGAGTAACTACAATATTTAAAGTAGGCCTACTACATCAATAATGCATCTATAATACAGATCAAACAATAGCCTATAATAATATAATATCTTTCTCCATACTACGTTGGTGTACTTTTAATACTTGCTAACAGGTAGATTATAGCGAAGATGACACTGACCAAAGAACTGATGCAGCTACATGTACTGTATCTGCTCTTTAAAACTAGTAATCAAGTGCCTGCAGCTATATTAGGTTTACTTTGAGGTCTGATATATAGGTAACTTAAAGCTGCAATAATCAATATTTTTTAGAAACGATGGAATAAATGACATGTCGTAGTGATGAACCTACAGATAATTATCACCCGACTCTGCAGTTCCCTTCAGCTCGACGGAGCATTTTAGCTTTCAATGTTTTGGTTTTACAGCCTACAACCCTTCATGTTTTCAGTGAATATGCTCTGATACAATTCCCTGTACCTGCACAAAATGAGATTTTAGCTGCTAAAGATTGAGGTATGTCCCTGGAAAAATTGGAGACCAAACCAGAGCTAATAAATGAGAGAATATTGGACTTACATTATTAACATTGACAGAAACACGACTCCAAATGAACGCTAATGCCTCTCCATGTCTTTTCGATGTGTAAATGGGCAATCACTTAATACATTTTTAGAGCATCATTCGTTCATTATACTCAACCCGTTCTCTCTTCAAAGATGTCAAGTAGTGCAGCTTGGACATTTAGCGTGTGATTCAACGCTCCCACCTGTAACATAATTTAAAGAGCGAGACAGTCCACACAAGGCCGGTGGGACAAACAAAACATGTCTCTCGTCCAGGAGACCCATGTTTGTTTCCTTTGTAAAAGTAAATTTTGACATTTTGTCACGTCAGTAGTAGACGTCAACCACGCTAAACCTAACTAAGAGGTCTTGTTGCCTAAACCTGACTTCCTACAAAGACGGAATGTTATTTTGAAAAGACACTATGCATGTAACGAGTGTAAAGTGACACCCTGTCAAAACTGAGGCCAGAGGGGTACGTAAAGAGACAGTTTGAAGCCTAATGCTGTGCCTAGTGTTGCTGTACTACAGTTTCTGAATAATTTCCCTGGAATTTTGTATATTTATGAAGAGTTTTTGTTAATTTTTTGTGTGTGTGTGTTCCCAAACCAGATTTGTGCTCAGTGAAAGCAGGCAAAGATCAGGTTTTTAAAGTTGGACATCCGTTAGTATTTGTGTGTGTGTATTTTTTTTTGTGTCTTTGCGGCTACGATGACATCAACGTTTTAGGCAGATGGGAAGTGGATGTGTGTAAAGAATTGTACACAAAGCGGTCACAGAAACACTGCAGGCAAGTTTCCCTCGACAGTAATCCTGTATCGTAAACACATAGACTGTTCATGTTCAAACTGTGGTGGGATAGTGGTCAAATAAATGTGATAAAATACTGCCAATTATTTGTCTCAGTCATTTCTCAGGTTTCTCTTTTGTTTAAAATCACTTTGTGTCTCACTCTGCTGACAGCTGGACTCTCTGGCCCTCCGGTAAATTTGTCCATCTCGCCACAAAATGGAGTGTACTGTGCATAAAGGAGCCTCACATGCACATCCTTACACTTGAATAGGGCACACAAATGTACAGTCATTTTCTCGCTCTCACTTGTAACACACGCACGTATACTAAGGCCACAGCGGGGACTATGTTTTCTCATGCGGTAGTAATTGTTTCAAAGGCCACACAGGAGGTCAACAATGGAGGTTTACAGCTAACAGCTTGGTGTGCTGTGACTTGTGCTTCGGGTGGATCTGTCTTTGGAAATTACATTCAGCAACCCATAGTGCTCAATTCAAGCGCAGATGAGCACAAAAAAAAAATATATATACAGTATGTGTGACTGGCTGCATTTGAGCAATACATTTTTTTTTTTCAAATGTTCTGATGCCATTTGTAACAACAAGGAAATGCACTTTAAGCACAGAACAGGATCTGGAACAGTTAAGTGGTATAGTTGGTTTGGTTTTGTACATTTTGAGACTGAAAGTAGGCTCATTTTCCATCCATGTGTTTTAATGTGCATTTCAAATTTGCGCATAAAATCTAAAAAATAATTAGTAGCAGATCTTGATGGAGGGATTTTAAGATGGTTTCTTACTTCTCACTATAGTTTACACATATGAGGTTCCCCTCACCCACCACATACAAATTCATACAAAGAGCCAGATGGATAATGTAGGTTAAGTAGAAGTAGCTGGATGCGTTTGACATTTGACAGTGTTCAGCTATCTTTAAAACGACTACATTCAAAATCCATTCAATATAGTGAAATAGCAAATGATCCATTAATTACGATAAAGCCCTGAGATGGATGCAAGTAAGACAAAGATGGAGAAACTTACACAAAGATAATGTTCATGTAAATTTCCAGATAGAGATGAATAATTCAAGAATTGCTAAGTTCATTTAAAAGAAAGTGGTAGTAGATGTACGGGGTACCAGTGTCAAAAGAGCATCAATAATTCTGCAGGGTTGGCCTGGCATGCTACAAGCCCCCCAACATACACATCCATACAGAGAGAGAGAGAGAGAAAGAGAGAGATGTGCCGAGTGAATATACTCTTCCATGAAGCATGAAAAGCATTCACTGTGTCATCATGTAGCACAGCCACAATCGCACTGATCCAGTGAAGCACAGCAGTGCCGTTTCAGAGACCTTCCTCGTGCTCTCGTTTTTTCCTCTTCTCCTTTGCTTTACTGTTACGCACTCAGGCTGGCAGCCATCGATCCAGGTTTAATGGAGTTATCGCTGATGGCAGCACAGGTAAGGAAGTGGAAATATATTTATCTAGTTATTTAAGTTCTCAAAGACTTTGAGGCAATACAATCCAAGTGTGTTTTTTGTTTTTTACTAAGAAGTACTGTACTGCATTATAGTACTAATTACAGTTTTTGGAGGGCAGTCAGTGTGGCATTATTGTTTTACTGTAAGTAAAACATCAAATCAAGCTCAACAAAGGAAAGTAGAGCTAATATATTACTGAGCTTGTGTGCTGTAATTGTTTACTGCTTTGGCTTTGTTTCTGTGATTAGAATTTGGAGGTCAAAGGTCACGACCGTCGGGTCATGTCCAACAAAACATGTGTTGGAGGAAGTGAATACAAGAGAAGACACGATGCAAATGCTACAGGGTCCCTCTCTTTATCAGCCACAAAATAAAGAAATTACTTGAGTGAAACGTAGCGGCACAGGTTGAGTCACAGGAACAACTTTCTGAGTAGAGCGAAGCATCCGTCATCTATAAACACGTGTACTCCATTGAAATTTAAATTTCGGTTACAGTTTTCTTCTTCTGTTAAATTTTGAAGTTTAACAAAGATAACTATATCCATGAGGCTCCTATTTGGCTGACTCAAACTAAATATTGCATCTCTCGCTCCTTGACTTTTCACAGCATCATTTTCTGACGCTACATTGAGTATAATTTTAATGATTTGTCTGCCAGTGTAAAAAAAATGTACAGTTAAAGAACAAAAACAATAGCAATTAAGGGGCTTCAGATTTTTCAAAGCATGCATTATACACATTTTCTAAAATTTTGTATGTCAGCGCTCATATGAAATTCTTTGTATAAATGGGGGAAATGAATATCCAGGAAACTGTAATTGTCCTCTATATGAAAAGAAAGCTATCCTTAATAGTTAAAGTGATTCCTTTCTGTGTTTGTTTCCTTCTATAACAGTCACTACAGCAGTCTCAACCACTCTCTTGCTCTTTATCGTGGTAAAACATTCATGTCCTGATTTCTCTGCATCTCCTCTGACCTGTGATGTTGAGCTTTATCTAGCCTGAGGGCATTATGTTATAACCGAGGTCCCTTTGTTAAGTATAGAGCGGTGCAGCCTATGGATATGTTTTCAAAGTAATTACTGTAGCTTTCAAGTGCAAGCACAGTGAACATACGTCCTATTTTTACTGCATTGAGTCAGCTTTACTTTGTTGCTCGATTCACAAGAGGAAGTTTTTTCTTTCTCGTCAGAAAAAAATATGGTTAGTGGTTTGGTTTATTACAGCTCTGTCTTTACATGAGCAACGTTTTAATTGAATGGAATGTCAATGTCTAACATGAAACAAATAAAATGCTGGATGCATTTGTGTATGACGGAAGCAAAGAAGGGATTAGTTCATGACGCAAAATTAAGTTGACTACAATGCAATCATATATACATAAACATACATACATGCACACACAAATATATATATATATATATAGTATTCTCGATTATTAAAATGACAGCGATTCAGATATGTAACATCTGTGATATTTGAGCCATTTTTCTAGACTAACAGCTTGAGCTTTCACATAAACGTTTTTGACACTAAAGTGCATCATTAGAGACGTTAATAACAAACAGGAACGTAGAAGATGGTTTTCAAGCCTGACACATGCAGCAGTCCTGTTGTGCAGAAAATGCAGCCCATTTCCTGCTGTGTACCCTGTCCAGCTGTGCTGATGTGATGGGAAATCTCCTACGATAACCATCAGCTAAAAGGTACTAAATCAGCTGTGCAATGACACACACTAGTAATGGTAAAAGATGTTGCAGTTTTCTCAAAGCTTTTCTACATTTGGCTTCTGAATTATACTTTAAAACTGGATTTCTGTTTAATTATTGCCCGCACAAGAATGTCCTATTTTC